AAAAAAAAAAAAAAAAAAAATCCCAAAGGGGCTGGGGATTTAGCTCAGGGGTGCCACATGTACCTGACAAGCTCAAGGTCCTGAGTTCGATCCCCAGTACCACCAAAAAAAAACAAAATAAAACAAAACAAAAAAACTCAAGATATTTAAATGGATATTCCTTTATCCTTGCTTAGGACATTTAACTCTGGAGGCACCAGAAAGTAGAAGGCACAAGAAAAAGGGAAGTCTCTTAGATCAATAGTTTCAATTCTATCTATCCTTTCATCTCTCCAATCAGCCAGCCAGCCCTTACTCTATTCATTCACCAAAATTCACAGAACATTATAATTGGTTTGGTAGTCAGTGTCCATAGTCTGGTGTTACACAGGTACATAAAAAGGCTTTTTCATGATACTTTCGGGTATTTTTGAAATATAATCATATATACTCTTTACATCACCCATTGCAATGCTGTAAAAGCAACTAATACAAACTGAGCAAAAAAACCTTAATATTTCTAATTAAATAAAAATTTAATTGCACAGTACAGCTACACAATGGAATACTACATTACCTCACAAATCAACCAGATAGTACTGTAATCAAATGTAGGAAGAAAAAAAAGCCAACTGTATCAGCCACACTGTTAGATGAAAAACAGGTGAACAGTGTGTTTAAAAGGAAAAATTACAGATACGATACATATGTATATGCATAGAACGTTTAGATAATTATACACAAAAAATTAAATTAATGCTTCTGAGGAAAGGACTAAGTGGAGACCAGAAAACAAATTACTTTTCACCAAATTTTTGTCTTATACACATATAAACCATTTAAAACATAAAAGAAAAAAGAGGCTTAATGCTGATTCTGAAGAACTCACAGTAAAGTTAAAAAGACAAAATATAACAAGGGGAAAAAATGAGATCCAAGACCTGTCATGTAAAGGTACAAGATCCCAATAATGAATGTAACTGTACTGTACACCTAAAATGTACCAATAAACTCAATTAAAAAAATATATATAAAACTAAAATGTGATGAAATGCTATTGTATGTAAATTTTAAGAAGAGGTGAACATGATTAAATCTGCTGCATGTACTGTCAAGAACAGAATTTGTCACAGAGCATGTTCATAAAGATAAAGCTACAAATGATACCTAAAACCTCAGTGATTTGTTCTAGAAATATTCTTTCTTGACATGCTGCATTAAGTAGGAGCATCAGACTCCAACCCTCCAGGAACATCTTACCCTGTTATTGTTGACTCTATACACAGCAGAGCTGTCAGTAATAGAAGTCTGCGTGTCTCTGTAACAGCCTGTTAACAACTGTAAAAAATAAGATGGAAGGGATCAAAGTAAACATGTTACAATAAGAGCAAATCTGATAGGAGTACTAAAGTTCTAACTCTTCCAAGTATAAGGTCAAATAAACAAATGCTTCTTGTAACAGGGAAAGGATCATTTATTTTTTAGCTTATGGAAAAATCTAATTAACTGTAAACTTCATTACTTCATTTTTCTCACTTCATAGAAAAGAAAAACATTATTTTCAAACCATGGTTAGTGGCTAAATTTACCGACCTCTGTAAACATTTTAACCATCAAAAATGACTCTAGATTATATTTCTTTAGTGCCTAGAAAAATAATATCTGTACTCCAGAGGAAGATTAAAAAGCAGACAAACCTCTCCTATTCTCCATAGTAAAATACACACTCAAAAATACTGAATACATTAAAAATAAATATTAGTGAAAAGAAACATAACCTAAAATGTTAAATAAATAAAAGGGTTATCCATTTTTTAAAAGTCTGGCAAAACTGAGCTGTTAACTTGTTGGAATCATGCTGGGAATATTTATACCATAATCAGCAAAAGCTGACTCAGGCTTTTATTTATTGTTTTATTGACTGTTTAAATGTTTAAAAGTGACAAAGAAAGGTTAGTAATGCAAGTTAAACTTAAAAGTGTATTGTGCCTGTAGCACATGAAACTAAAAAATAGTACCCTAGTATCTGATTCAGCAAAGAAGTTGCTAAATGGGGTAAAGTTTAACATCCATCTTCATTGTGTCATTTTCAACTTACTTGTGAACACAAACAAAAATATCAACCAACATTCATGTCACTTATCAGATTTAATGACAGTAAATTTAACAGATAAAAAATCTACAAACTGGGACACAACTGGTTTTGTCAAATCATGGTCCAACTGCGTGCAGTTTGGCTACTGATACAAAAGGTATTCTGCAACAAATAATGGGCTGTACAAAATTTATAACATATTTTACAATGAAGAGTGATATATATTGTTTTTTAAAGTTCTATATTTTGGAGCATTTCAGATTTTGGATTAGCGATGCTAAACTAGAAAAAAAAATCTATGGAAATATTCCAAAATCTGAAAAATTGCAAAATCTTAAAACATTTTTTAAAAAGGCTCTCAGAAAGGTTTAGTATCCCCCAAAATTATAAACTGTATGTATACCACTAGCTTCTACCTCCAACTGTTCTGTCAGCTTAGCCACAGAACACTTACATAAAACATTTGTGATAAAATTTTCCCTCATAGGTTTTCCAGTCTTTTTGTCCTCAAAAGTAAGTCAAGAATTAACTCCCAAATTTGTCAGCATAAATTTCTTTACCAAATAAACCATCAGATCTCAGGAATACTAGGATGCATTACTTTTTCCATTAAAAGAGGTGTACTGTAAATCAAAGCACTTACCCTGACAAATAGCAGTGTTTTCCCGGAGTCACAAAGACCCACAAGAAGAACTGCTCTTTGACTGCTCTTTCTACTCCAGATTAATTTCCAGAACACTGTAGAGACAAAAATAACAAAATTGTGCGCTGATAATCAGTGCTACTAACACACATCTTACGACATAACACCGCATTCATCTGTGACTTACTTTTTAATTACCACCATTATAATCGTTACTGTTGTTGAAATTAGGAACCCTCTGGAGTGCCAGCCACTATCAACTCTCAACTTCCCCGTACCCCGAACACGGAACGTGACTACCTCTAGTCGCATGTGGCCTCAGCGCCCACCTCGCAAACACAGAAAGCTTAAAATCGGTGTAAAGACCATGTGAGTCTCGGCAGTAAGAAGATGGAAGGGGAGGAACCATGAGTTCAGGCACGGCGGCCAACAGAGGAAGGTTAACCAGCGTCCCAGGAACCCAGACGTTACTGAGGGTCTCCCGGGATGCCCCTTCAGCGCAGCGCTGCCGCCGCAGTTTCACCAAGAGTGGAGTGTAGAGAGAGTAAGTCTCATAATCCAGATGTCCCCAAGGTGTCCCTCGCACCGCACCGGGGCCTGCGAAGGCGAAGCCCCGACGCTGCCCGCCCGCAGCCGCAGACCCACTGGCCACCTACTTACCCAGCGTTAGCAGCACCACGGCGACCGCCAGCACTACTGACAACAGCGTCGGGTCCCTCTGCTGCAGCTCCTGTCTCAAGGAGTCTAGGTAGGGCTGGAAAGTGCCTCCCGCACCGCCGCAACCCTCTACCCGACAAGAGTCCACGGTAGCCATGAATGAAGTGCGTGCTCCGGTACCGCGAAAGCTACGTGGCCCTGTGTTCTGCGCAAGCGCGGGAAGCGAAGCATCACGGGAATGGTAGTCCCTAAACTGTGCTCTTGCCTGGTAGCCGGGAGGATCCCCAAGTACCTGATGGGAGTTGTAGTTCTCTGGAGCGTCGTGCTCCTCCAGAACCAAAAAGACGGAATTATTGGGCGAGTCACGCTTTTTCTTTTATATCAGTCATTTGTCGCCCCTCCTCCGCCCTCTTTCTTTTTTGGGGTACTTGGGGTCCAACCTAGAATTTCACACTGAGCTACATTCCCAGCACTTTTTTTATTTTTAATTTTAAGACAAATTCTCTCCAAATTAGCCAGGCTGGGGTCAAACTTGCATCCTCCGGCCTCAGCTTCCCACAGTGCTAGGATTAAAGGCATGCAAGCCTGGGTTGCCTTCTTAATGGCTATTGAGGGAACAATGAAACGAATAAAAGAAATGGCTCTCGAAATTTCCACCAAGGATTTCTAGTCGATCCCTCCGTGAGATGAAATAATGAAGAATTTCAGCATTCCTACAAACATTTAAACTGAATATAATGTGATAGGGATATGACAGCGAGATGTGTGCCATGTGATATGGGAGTACACAGGCATGCCGAGTCCATCAAGAGCTCAATGAAAAGCTGCTGGAGACTGGAACTGAGTCCTTCCTGAAGGATGTGTCAGGCTGTGCAGGCAGTTAAAGTGAAAAGGATGCACCATACACAGGAAAATGAGTACAAGCCATTGAATGATACGCACAGGAAACATGGTAGCTCGCTGTCCCTAACGGTACATCTAGGGCTGCAAACTCAAAATTACTGCTTTAAAATAAAAAGCCAGGAGCCTGGCGTGGTGGTCCATGTCTGTAATCCCAGCACTCAGTAAACTGAGGCAGGAGCATCTCCTGAGTTTGAAACCTGTGCTACATGGGTGAGTTTAACGCCAGCCTGAACTATACAGTGAGACCTTGTCTCAAAAAACAAACAAAAAATAAAAATAAAAAAACTGAAGAGGTCATTCCTGACAAAAGGAAGCGGATCCTACTCAGCCAGGTGCATTGCAGGACCTAGATGACCAGTTCTACCATTTTTTTTTCAAGAGAAGCCACAAATGGAGATTATTTGTTTGTTTGTTTCTTTCTTTCTTTTTGCACCAGGGATCAAACTCAGGACCTTGTGCTTGTGAGGCAATAAAAGGAGATTTTTATGGGACGTTTTCCATTTTTAAAAATTTGGAGAGTAATTGAAAAACATTCAAAAGCTTGTGGCCTAATTAAAACACTTCTGCTGGGTCAAAAGTGGCCAGACTAGGCTCCCTGTTTTCAGACTCTGCTATGAAGCAGGTGTCGCTGTTCTAAAAGGTACATGTAATTTAATTATTGGCATGACTGGGTAACAACAAGTGACGTCATTGTCATCCAAATTCTAGAAGTTCATTATTTACGGTTCCACATTGTCACACAGACCTCAACACACACAAGGACCAGGAACAGAGAGGAATTAAGATGCTCCTTTGCTGTGTGGCGAAGAGTAGGTGGAGGTGGTTTTAATCCGGTAGGAAGAGAAACAAAGATATGAAGGAAGGTTGAGATGTGATTTATGTACAGACTGGAAAACCAAACCGTGGAGAAAATATAAAGAACTTTGGCTGTTAATTTGGCCTTGAGATTCGAATGTTAAAAATCTATAAAATTCATTAGAACAACCATATAAATGGTAGTGGCAAAAATAAAGCTTGAAAGGTTGGCAGAAATCAGACTTGAAGGGATTTTGTGTGCTCTGCTGAGGCAGAGCCTAGAGTTTATTCAGATTGCCAGTGGACCCTTGACTTACAAACTCTCTCTGTTCCTGAAGGCTGGTTGGTCAATTGAAGGCTCAGGCTCTTCTACACAGCCTTCAAAGTCCCTCTCCTGTACACAGGCAGAACTCAGGGTCCTGACACTGGCCCAGGATTTCTTAGTTAACCCAACACAGGAAAGAATGTTGTAATGTTTCTTCCAGAATTTTTTAAGGGTTAAATCTGTATCTGAAACCATCTGGAAGTATAAGCAGTCAGTAATTGGGTCATAATTCAAGATTTTGTTATTAAGTAAAAACTGAAATTCCAGTCGTAACCCAAGTTGTTCATAAACCAGGCTGTTATAATTCCAGGGTCCACTGTATAAGTTTCAGGTGAGGGTGACATAGATAATTGGCAAATGGAGAACTATGACTTCAGAGAGAAAAGACTACAGGCAGGAAGACCAGCTAAATTCTTTTGGAGTATGTAGGGAAGACATTTGGAGTGTAATACAGAAACAAAAATAAGGGTGGAAAGGAGGGCACAAATTTAAGAAATGTTTGGAAGTCAAACCATACAAATAGGTGGATATGGTGAATTAAGTAGGAGAGTAATCAAGGCTGCATGCTGCACAATTCCTGTGGGTAACTAGGAAGATGAGGGGAACACTAAGTGAATTAAGGACCTCAGTAAGAGGATTTGAAGCTGTGAACCTAATAGGAAGAGATCACTAGAATGAAAATTACCTTTCTTTTCTATTTTGACTGCACTAATCTGCATTCCTACCAACAGTGCACAGACTTCCCTTTTCACCACACTCTCACTAGCATTTGTTATCTTCTGACTTTTTGATAATACCGTGGTCATCCTAATGGATATGGAATGGTATGTCATACCCAGTTAAATTCGCATTCCCCTCATGCTCAATGACATTGTGCACATTTAACATACCTATTGGCAATTTTTCCTCATTGGATAAATGCCTATTTGGGTCATTTGACATTATTTTTATTTGTTTTTCTACCGTTGGGTTGTATGAATGCTTTATAAATGTTAGCATTAATCCCTTATAAATACATGATTTGAAAATATAGCTTCTCAACCTACAGGCTGCCATTTCATTATGCTCATTATTTCTTTTGATGGACAAAAGATTTTTTGGTTTGATGGAGTACCATTTACTTATTTTTGCTTTTGTGGCCTGAGCTTTTGGTGTAATATCTCAAAAATATCATTGCCAAGGCCAGTGGCTAGGATCTTATAGTAGTTGGAAGAACTAGCCAGTGTATTGTCACTCTTTTCTCAGAATTTTTCTCATCTAACTTAATTTTTGGTCAAGCATTAGCATCATTTTTTCAAGTTAAAAAAATTGTATATTGATTAATTTAGAGAGAATAGGCATGTTTACAAGATCCTGTCTTTCTATCCAGGCAATGTCTGTTACATTATTTTTTGCCTTACTAATTGTGATTTGAATGGTTTTTAGATGTAGATGTTATTAATTTAGTAAATAATGCATTTTATTTATTTTTAAAAATTATAGTTCTAGGGCTGAGGATTTAGCTCAGTGGCACCACTCCTACCTCCCAAGCACCACGTCCTGAGTTCGATCCCCAGTACAAAAAAAAAATTATTGTTCTATTATATATGTAAGGGAGATTATTTTATATTTTAATTTTTCATTCCAGCTTACTGTATTTTATTTTACTACTATTAATATTTTATTGTTCTTATGGATATTTTTGATGTACAATTACCACTTGTAAGTAATAGTAATTGTAATATTTCTGACATCTAGGCTAGGAATGCTGCTCAGTGATAGAGTACTTGCCTAGCATGAACAAATCCTGGGTTCAATCCCAAGCATTGCAAATATATATGTAAAATCTTAGTTTTCTTCTGTAATTGGATTAGCCAACCACTGTAAAATAAAATTGATGGTAATCAAAGTTTTTTCCCATGTTTCTACCTTTAGTGGAAATGCTTCTATTTATCATAGGTATACATTAGTTTTTGATTATATGTAGATTGCTACCCAATAATATCTGTCTATCCTATTTTAGTAATGAACTTAAGAAGAACGGTGCTGAGTGTTGATTGTTCTAGCCCTGTTTCAGGAGAGCTGCTGTATCTATCAAAATTAAGTGTATTGACTTGTTGCAATAAACAAATCATATCCTGAAGGAAACATGGGACATCGTATCAAACAAAGGACAAAACAAGGTTATTCTAGGATCTGGGATAATGATGGAACATAGGTAAATATTAAATAGGGCAGAGTATTGGTGAGCTCAGAGAAGAGCAGAGCTGGTTCACATTAGGCCTGGACTGTAAAGTGGCCCAAGTCCTGTTTCCTCAGGTGCTAGAAGATAGGTATAGAATTTTGTGTGGAGAAACCTCAGATCTGCAGTTTTGCATCTGAATGTAAATGGAGGCTGTGAGGAGAGTTTGTAAAACAAAGAGGCCACCTGGGGAATTATTTAGAAGGTAAAATTAACAGAACTTGGTGATATTGGATGTGGACTGAATGAAAACAGTGAATTGATACTGAACACTTCCATTTAAAGTATGAATAATTGGGTAGAAGATCATGTCTTCAGTGGATATAAAATACATTTTTAAAATAGTTGGTTTACAGATGCCAGAGAGGGAAAAGCAGGATGATTCCCCTCAGTTTTTTGTTTTTGTTTTATTTTGCTTTTGGAGTGTTTGGATTGAACCAAGAGCTTTGCATATACTGGGCAAGTGTTCTACCACCCCCAATATTTTATTTATTGGGCTTCTGATTGCTATAAGATTCTAGAGGATAGACTCACAGGTGATAGGAGGTATCAGTGTGGGGTTACTGGAAGCTGGGGTCAAAACTATCAATATGGATGCCCAGAAATTATTAGCCTGGCTAAAGGAAAGTTTGGAAAGTAAGAGGAGCACTGGATCCAGAGAACTCCAGGCAGATTTCTATGAAATTTTTCAGGCTGGTAGGATGAGTCCACAAAGAAGGCCACAAATGAACAAAGAGAGGCAGGAATCAAAGCAGAGAAGCCAAGGGAAGGAATTCTAAGGAAGAAGGAGTCAGCTGTATCAAGCATAACAAGCTCAAGAATGAAAGAAGTAAGCTGATTCAGCAGTTGGCAGGTGGGTGACTTGCTAGGGTAACTTCAGGGAAGTGGATAGAACAAAAGACTGGTTCTATGTGTTCATATGATTATAATAAATAAGACAGGCAAAGCAAAGTAACCTTACAGGAAGCTGGGCTGAGAAAGTCAGGAGACAAGGAAGAAATTACAGTAGCATCAGGCAGGGATGATTTTTAGTAAAAAATATTTCAGGGGCTGGGGATTCAACTCAGTGGTTCAGCCACCTGCCTTGCAAGCACAAGGTTCTAAGTTCAATCCCTGGTACCCAAAAAAAAAAAAAAAGATATTTCAATTTTACTTTTTCTAACTGGTTAGATTTAGGACCTTGGCTATGCTAGATGCTCTTCGTTAAATATCAAAATAAAGATATATCTTCTATGGTCTGTTACATATTTAATAAGATAAAGAAATCCTTTTGTTGGAAATAGTTAGAAAAGAAGGCAGTTTTTGAAATATAAAATTCAACAATCATTTTTATTTGTGTTCTGTGCATATGACAACACGGAATTTGAAGACAGACAGGGTTAGCACAAATTCCTCAGGCCAGCAAGGCTGGGGAAAGCCTGCAGGTCACCTGAGCTGTCATCTCCCTTGCAATGGCAGCCCCATCTCTTGTATTTTAAAGTCTGTGGAAACTGCAGGCTTCCAGGAGTTCTGTGGAACAGAGAAGAAGGACATTGAAATGTATTTATATGTATTTATGAACTGTTGATTGAATGGACAGTTAAACGTAATACCAAGGCATTCATACTGGTTGCCCTGCACTTCTGATGCATGGATTGGGACATTCTCCCAGTGCTTGCGTCCACTTGCCTATACAGCTCTGCACCTTCCCTGGGAAGACTCCACACTGAGAATGTAAGTGCTGTAACATGATTTCCCTGCCCTACGGTATTCCCCTACTGTGTTTCTTATGGGGGCAGCTCACACACCTGAGTTCACGTGGCTGGAAGTTGCCCAGGAAGACTGTCCTCCCCAACCTCTTTAGGCAAGTGGGGAATTGATATAGCAAGAAACACCCGCCAGACTTTGTGCTGGGCACAAGGGATGGGGCAGACAACAATAGAGTCAGACTCTCTCCCCTTGTGGAAGGTATAACTTAGGTCAATATTACTTGGGTTTTGCAACAATGACCCTAGACAAGCTCATCACTTACATCAGAATTATATGGGGCAACTTTTAAAGTACAATCACCCTGAGGTGTCACTGCCTTCCTGAATCAGTGTCTCCAGGGCCTAGTAATAAGCGTGTTTAATTAGAACCAAGACTCTCTTATCTGTTCACTACAGTTGACAAATAACTGCCCAAGCATGTTACTCCCCCATGTCTTCCAGATGCTTTCTAATGAATCCATTATCCCCAGTTATACTGCACAGGTGTGTTCTATTTCATTTCCTAGATCCTGCTATAAGATGAGTAGTATCCTTGGCAACTTTATAGTTACCAGAACCTATCATTGTTCAAGCTCTCTAGAGCATCACTGTCTGAAAGAACTTTCTCCAGTGATATTTGTGGCTCCTGAGCACTTCATGTGCAGCTGGATGGGACTAAGGAAATTAGCTTTTTTCAACTTTAAGTATCCACATTTTTCTAGTGGCTACCATACTGGAGTAGGTAACGCTAATGAAAAGTTTACTTCAGACAATGGTTATGTGCATGCGAACCCTTTATTTTCTCAGCAACAAGATGGACCTCTGCATGTTCAGTCAGTTCACTAGCTTCATGCTCTGGGCCTGTGCACGCTCACTCTCCAGGCTAGCCAATCACATGTGCAGGGCTTAGGTTAGGTCGTTCTCTCACTGATTCACCTTGCCCATATGGCCATATCCCGAGAGTCACAGTACCTTTATACTCAACACCCCAGAACCCACCACTGCATTTTGTTTGCACATTCCCCGGGCCATGTTCTTCCTACTCACTTGAGGTTGAGCATTTTCTCAGGTTACCAACAGCCTTGACATACTCCTCTCCTAAGTATTTTTCAGGTGTGACATCATTCTCAATTCTAACCAAACATTTTGTATCATCCCTGAACAGAAGATCCTTGGTTTTCGACCGGAACAAACAAAATCTGGCTGCGCAATCAAATACAGCATTTCCAAACATTTCCTGCCAAATGAACAGAAAGTGCGTGAAGAGGGGGCCCTGAGCAGGAGGGAACACGCATCAGAGAAGGCTCCAAGCTCTGAACCAACCCTGGGAACTATGAACTAAGAGAAGCTACAGAGTATCCTTCAGGAACTTTCTACTTCCCTCACCTACCATTTATCCACTTGAGGTTCCAACTGCATGTTTTCAGGGTGCCCAAAAGTCCTCAGTAGTGGCCTTTGGTCCTATCTTTTTCTGAGAACTTCCCCTTTCCCACCTATCCTTGCCTGCCTTTCTTTCTTTCTCTTTCTCTCTTTTTCTCTCTCTTTTTCTTTCTTTCCTTCTCTGAGGTGACAAATTTCATAGGAAACTGAAAAATGAGAAGAATGAGATAGATTCCTGGTAAAGAATACAAAGAATATAAAATTGTATACTCAAAAGTTTTCATAAAATATTACAGCAACCCACCAAATTAAGGTGTTCATTGACATTACTTAACAATAAAAATTAACTGACTTGAAGAAGATCAGTATGAAAATATTCTAATGTAGCAACATCCAAAATAATTTTCCACAATGATGGAAACTTTTCATTCCATATCTCTATACTGTTCAAATTGGAATGTACTAGCCATGTGAATTCTCGAAATGTGGTGAAGGCAATCAAAGACATGAATTTTTTAATATAATTTAAATAGCTACATCTGACTAGTGCCTATTTACTGAATTGTACAATTCTAATACTTCATGAATCAAAAACCAGTGGCTTCTTTCAGGGAATTTTTCTACTGTTAACTACTGTTAAGGTATTGTGGGTCAGATATGGAAAGAAAAGAAAGCTCTTAATAGATTTATCTGGCCATTTAAACAAGATCTGAGGCTGGGCCTGGTGGCACACGCCTATAATCCCAGCACTTGGGAGGCTGAGGGAGGAGGATCGCTGTGAGTTTGAGACCAGCCTGGGCTGCATAGTGAGTTCCAGGTCAGTCTCAACTACATAGTGAGACCCTGTCTCAATAAATAAATAAATAAACAAACAAACAAAGAAGATCTGAAATTCTCCATAGTTTTTGGAGCCAGAGGCTAGTACAATCCACTGGGAAGAGTGTAAAGGAAGGACTCAGATAAAATTCAGTATACCTTTCAACTCCAAGCTAATATGAGTGGGAGTAAAAGGCTTAGGATTTTGGTCACTGGGGAAGATGATGACAGTTACAGCAAATCTGAGGTTGTGGCCATCCCTGAGGCCATCTGTGTGTGGAAATCATTGCTGTGGGGCTAGTGGAGAAATGGGAGTGTGTGCTCATTTCTGTACAGAGTTTGCAGAGTCAGATGAAGGTTCAGAGGTGGAAAGACCTGAGGACACTTTCTGATCACCTGCAGGGTGAATAGGCCCTTTCTTTTTTTGAAATTGAAGTCTTGATTTTGGTCTTAAACACTTGGCTGGGATCCAGCTTGTTCATAAAGGAGTTGGTCTCTTCTGTGAGCAGGTCTGTGCTGTAGGTGATGAGTTTATATGAACCACTGCTTGGCCTGTGTGCTAATGCCATAGCTGGTGAAGGCATACTAACACTGGGGCAGGCCCAGGTGGGTGGTGGGCAGGTGCTAATAGGCAGTAAAAGCATCTGTGAGAAAATGCCAATATAACACTCTGTCTGGGAACAAGATCTCAGTGACCTGTGCCAACACTGGTTTCCTCATTTGTAGGCAAGCTAAAGCTTCCCATTCCCATTGCATGAATCCTGTTCAAATACCACATTGCAAAGGCCAAAATGAAGCTTCTCTGACTTGTCCTCACTGGCTTCATATGTATCATCTTCCATGTCTGCCTGAGTTAGTGCATTAGGAAGAGAATACAGGGAAGACTGGTGGGGCCAAGTTAGTTTTGAGATGCTGTTAAATGCCATATTGCCCAGCAGGATGATGTGCTGCTATCTAGTCGCACACTCCACTGGTCATCAGGTAAAAGCTCTTCATAACCTTAGGCATCATAGTTATTTTTTGTTCCCATGAAGGAAATCACATGACATTCAGCGGGTGCCTTGTCTATGACGGTCACCTCTGTCACACTTGGGGAAGAGTCTAGGATGAGAGTGATGCCAGGGGTCAGCTTCTCTGGGTGCAGCTTGTCTCCTCCATGGCTTGCGTCCCTCCTTCACAACTGACCCAGTATTAGCACCTTGGCCTTTGAGTTAGCCATGTTAGCCAGGAGCTGGGAGCTGTAGTTCTCTAAACCTGCAGAGCCTGAGAGCCTGGGTGGGGTGGGGACTCCGGGGCTGGTCCAGCAGCAGTAGCTCGGTAGGGCACATTGTACAATACCATGAATCTCTCTCTCTCTCTCTCTCTCTCTCTGTCTCTCTCTCTCAACAGGGACTCCACAAGTTTCCCGTGCTGGACTTGAACTTGCAATCCTCTTTCCTCAGCCTCCCAGAGTGCTGGGACTATAGGTATGTGACATGACCACAGCCACTCCTGCTTTTTCTAATCTCTCTTCCCTGCACCTCTTCACTGCCCTTGTCCTTGGGGGTTGCTTATAGGAAGTACGAGGACAATAGCATGTCCCTTTTGATATTACTGCCAAAAAAAACATTACTATGACATTAAGACATTAACTATGTTCCTTCCAACAGGAATAGCAGAGGTGGTTGTTAAAAGTTTGTGTTTGGCTGCCTTTTGAATCCTATCTTGAACTAGCCACTTAAATTCTCCAGGACTCCTAAGGTTGTACATGAAATGATGAAAGTTCATATTATCATCACGTGCTTTAAAAAGTCTGCTGAAGATATGTTATCTTAATCTTTAATGAAAGTTAATGGTGAGCCAACAGGTAGAAGTTATGCTGAAGAGAACAGTGATGTTTGGGTGTAGAGAGGCCTTTAGGATTAGAATTCTCAAGTAGCGATTTTCCCCTACAAGCTGGCCCTGACATGGTTGTTCTCCCCAGAGAGCAGGTTCTCTGAGGCTAGGGCTTATTTGTATTTCAGGCACTGCTCAGTCTGCCTTGGCAAGTCCATTTTTCAAGGCTTGTATCAAGGATTGCTGGGAAACAGAATCAGTCTTCTTCATTTTGAACAAGAACAGATTAGGGGAAAATAATCACATCCCTAGGCAAAGTCAAGGGGCAGGAAGGAAGATTCCTGGTCCTGCGGATTCATACATCAGGTGGGGACTGATTTTCAGTGACTAAAATATTGAAGCAGAGCCAGGCCTGAGAGACCCTGTTCTACAATTGCATAGCTAGCACATTTCGAGCACTTCCTGTAGGCCACATATTGTCCCATGACCTTTGCATGCATCATTTTGCTTAATCCCCATATTAACTGAGAAGTGGGTATAGTATTATTATTTCTATTTTATGTATGAAAAAGCTGAGGCACAGAGAGGCTAAATCATACCAAGACAGCACCGTTAGAAAGCTATGAGCTGAGATTTGAACCCAGATATTCTGATCCAGTCTCTTTCATAAAAGAATATTGGAGTCAGGGCTGTACTTAGCTGTGAACTCCCCCAAATAACCTATACCCATCTAAGAGTAAAAGGTGGGAGACCCTAGCTGGTTCATACCTGTTGGCTGTATAATACTCCACGAACATATTCTGCCTTATCTTTCCGTGTGACCACAGCATGATTTGGGGCTCGGGCCAGGTGGCATTTCTCATATTCATCCACGGACTTCCTGCTGCCATCAGGGCACAGCAGCTCGAAGTCTTCCTTCTTAAGATTACTAGCCCATGAATCAGGGTTGTTTCCTGTGAAGAGAAAGACAGAAGGTAGATCAGCCAGAGGAGATGGCCTTGGTCACTACAGGATTGGGAACAGCCCACTGGTGTGTGGAAGATCTGGACCCTTTGGCCAGCTGAAGCACAGAAGTGCACATATCGGGTTTATACAAGATGGGGGAAGGAACATGTGCATGGTGTATAAGGTGATCTAAATCCACACCAGAAGTTACTAGTGACTACCCCCACCTGGCCAAGGTAGGTAAGAATCAACTACATTCTATGGATGTTGCTCAAAATGACTTTCCTTTGTATTAAACCCCAAAGCCTTCTGCACTCCTTGCTCCCACATAGGAAGAATGTAAGGCTCAAAGTGGAATTTATCAATCTCCATCCTGTAACATGGCATCTCCAAATGAAGGGACATTACTTCAAAGGACATTTTCAGACTCTGCACCAGCATTTTCAGCCCAACACCTTCTTTCTAAGTGAAAATGTGCACATGCCTGTGTGGCATAGGCCCATGTCCTGTTATAACTTCTTGCTTTATCTTTTGTATATTCTCTTTGCAAAAAGAAAAACAACACTCACCCAAAGTGAGTGTCCAACATGTTTTACCAACTTCTGTTTCTCTCTTATAATGCAAGATTTTTTACCTTTTTTATTTTATTCATTTTTTCATTAAATTTCTTTAATTGAACAATATATGAGATTGGGCTCATAAAATTTTAATGTATCTACATATAAACTAAAAATCTTCCTTTTCAAAATCCCATTCGCTTCTAGAGCTCTAATCTTTGAGATTGCATTTGTGTATGTCCATCCATGCCTTGTTTTATATATGCATATATCTATATGTGTGTCTTCGTGACATTACATATTTATCAGTGTTCTTAGTTTTTTTTTTGTTGTTGTTTTTTCTTTTTTTTTTTGGTACCGGGGATTGAACTTGGGTCCTTGCGCTTGCGAGGTAGACCACCAAACCGCTGAGCTAAATCCCCGGCCCTGGTGTTCTTAGTTTTAAATCTTAATAAAAGTCACTTAGGCAGGAGGAACAGTAGATCTATAAAGACTCTTGAATGAAAACCAGTGTTAATGAGTGAGTGATGGCCTAAAGGTAGAATATTTTTAAAAATTAAATGGAAGGTGATTCACTCTGTGCTAGGAGGGTAGCCATAGGCATCTGGAAGGATAAAATATTGTTTTTGATGAAGTCAGTACAGGTTTATGGAAATTCGTAAAATGCTGCAGAGTATCATTTTTGAGACATTTATAATTCCATAGCACACACCTTCAGAATTAGCACATTTCTTCGTTTTTATTACATGTACATACAATATGCATACATCCATATGTTATTAAGATTCTTTTTAAAAATACATGCTTTTATATCTTGCTTCTTCTAAGCTGTAACATAGCATTTAAGACATATGTTTCTAAGAAATAACATAAAACATTGACAGACTTAATCTAGTCTTGACTGGAAAGGAGCATGAAAAGACCATAGGGCAGAGGCCATGGAAGAAAAGTGAACTCTGAGAGGATGAGGAATTTAGATTTATGTAAGTTGAGTTTGCAACATCAATGTATTCTTTACGTTAAAATGACACCTTGGGAAATCAAAATACTGGAATGGGTGAGAGCTCAGGCCTCCTACCTAAATGCTTCGCAAAGAATGGAGAGTAAAGGCCTAGAGATGAGGGGGTACTCAGAGAAGTACAGAAAGAAATCAAGGGTGACAAGGAACCAAGGTTAGGGTAGCACTCCAAAGCAGAAAGAAGGTAAGCCCTTAAAGGAAGAGCAAAAATGATACAAGGGGAAAAAAGAAAAATTAGTCCAACCTAATATTCCTTCAGAAAAGTTCTTAGCAACTGCCATATGCCATGTTCTATCCTGGGTGGTGGGGATATGATAGGAGAAAAAAGAGCCCAGTGATGTTTGCCAGTCAGAGAGTATCATAGATTGTGATTAATTCAGTAATGCTAGCAACATGGACAGAGGTTTCTTGTTGTAGGATAGGGGGGATGTGTCATATGGAAGCCTTCTTAGAGGACCTGGCACTCAGCTAGTTCAATCTAGATGTTACCCAGGGAAGGCTGGACAATTGTAGGAACACACATGAGAGGAGCAGGGAAGTGATTAACCACCTAAACATTATTAGGTTTGGCAGGAGAGACACTGAGGAGTATGGAGTGCTTATTCTTACCAATGTTCATTTTTGCTTTGTTTTAATGTCATCACCGACCAGCACCCACTGGTGATTCTTCCATGAATTGATTGTCTTCATAGTGTTTGCCAGATAAAAGTTTTCTAGCTTTGCCATTCTATCTTTACTTTCATTGATTTAGCATTCTCAAATAAGGAAGATCTTGCCCTTCTTTGCTTGTCTAATCAGTATTGCCTTGTGGATTCTTAGACTTATTGGCCTGCACAGCTATCATTATTTTAATGTTCGAAAAAACCCAGATTTTGAAAAAGGTCCTTCATGTTGGCTCCTGCGTGTTTTGACATGTTCCAACATTCTTTGAACACTTCAGTGTGAGTAGCTCACCATATATTTTTTCTGTCCCAACCTTGAAATTAGCTCTTTTTCTAAGGATTCCTGTATCCTTTCTACGGGTGTGCTATGCACAGCTATCATTATTTTAATGTTCGAAAAAACCCAGATTTTGAAAAAGGTCCTTCATGTTGGCTCCTGCGTGTTTTGACATGTTCCAACATTCTTTGAACACTTCAGTGTGAGTAGCTCACCATATATTTTTTCTGTCCCAACCTTGAAATTAGCTCTTTTTCTAAGGATTCCTGTATCCTTTCTACGGGTGTGCTATTGCCCCTATTTTTCTCAGTGGGTAGAGCCAGGAAATACACACACACACACACACACACACACTCACACACATGTACAGGTGCCTTGTGAATGCTAAGCTAGTACTCTACCACTGAGCTATATATCCAGCTTCCACAGCAAGGTGAAGAAAAGCTGTAAAGGTCATTATTGGAATGATTGAAAACTTAAATGTGTACTGTGTAGCATTAAATCCATCTAATGTAAAATTTCCTAATCTTGGTAATTGTACTATCAGTATGTAAGAGAATGTCTTCTTCTTGAGGAATGGCATGGAAGTATTTAGGAGCAAGTCAGATTTGAGCTGTGGGGAGAGGAATTAGGGCCTTTGGGAATCCCATGGTCCTGATCATTCTACCTATCCAGGTAAATACTTCCCTCTTCACTGAACACACAAGCTAAGAATTAGAGCTTTGAAGACTGACAGTGTCTGTCATTCTTCTACAAAGTCACTCCTAAATACCAGTGAATCCTACTGACCCAGATTTCCTGAGGACAGAGGAACATGTGCACGTACCATCAGTGTTCTGCATGACAGTGCTGTGCTTCACAAAGGCCACATCTCCTTTCTCAACCAGACACCTGCAGAGGTCCAGATGGGGAGAGAAGAGAGGAAATCAGATCGACACATGTGTCATTCAAGGAGTCACCTTATAGATCCAGGCTTGCCCCCAAATATCTGCAATTATAGCTTCCATTCTATTACTTAGCAACATAAAAAAATGAAGAAAAAGAAAGGCTCTAAATGGCTGACACAATCTCAATTCCACATAGTAAATCAGAATTTTTGATACAGCTTCTCCAATAGATTACATCCTTTTCTAACATCAACACAGACAGCAGAAAATCTGTTTTCTAGTGTGGCAATATCTTACCCAGCAAGCATATGAAATGTGAATGGAAACAATTCCTTCAGCTTTTTGAAACATGTGAATGCCTGTGCAACATTTATGAGAGACTGAAACTCAATCAAAACTCCCAATTTTTAATATCATTCACCCTTCATAAAAGGATTTTAACATTCAGGGAGCATATGAGGTGTTTTATGAGAAATGCAGAGAGTATGGCCATCCTACTATTAAGGCATTTGTTGCTACTAAATCTCAGTCTGCATGTCTTTGGATGAGGTACTGAGGATGAACTGAGCCACAAATCTCCAAGAAGTTTCAGAGCAGAAATACAAACAAGGCTGGGCATGGTGGTACATGTCTGTAATCTCAGAACTCAGGAGGCTGAGGCAGGAGGATCGCTGTGAGTTCGAGACCAGCCTGGGGTTCATAGGGAGTTCCAGGTCAGTCTCAACTATAGAGTGAGACCCTGTCTCAAAAAACAAAACAAAACAAAGAAGAAATACAAACAAAATGAACTCTCGAGTATGGATCCATTACATTACTCCTAACTTCACTCCTCTAAAAGTACACATCACACATACAGTGGACTCGTGTGTGCTTAAACATCTGCACAAGGCCCTACTCCATAATCCAGGTAGATACGACTCTTGTAGAGTAGGCCCTGACCCACTGTCTGGCTACAATAATCCCCCTCGGGCTGGGGATTTATCTCAATGGCACCACACCTGCCTCTCAAGCACAAGGTCCTGAGTTTGATCCCCCGTACCAAAACAAAAAACAAACAAACAAATAAACAAAAACCCTGCTTCATGGAAAATAATCTGCATTTTCCTGCAGCTGTTCAAGAGTTTTGGGGAAAGCTAGCTGAAAAGATGGATGTCTGCTGTATCATATACAGAATGCACTTCATTTTCTTTTGAGTTTATAGTCTGTCAGTTTGAAGTATTTAATGGTATAACTGGGTTTTATAAGATATTTTCCATGAAAAGAAGGCTTTAAACATGTAAGCAAAAATTGAGCCAAAAGAAAAAAAGAGGCTTTCTCTTGATCTGTAATTCTCAAACATTTCATCACCAAAAAGAGACCAGGGAAAGGTCAAAGGGGACTACAGTTGTCAGTCCCTTCAGTCTCTTAAATTCCTGACAAAGGGGACTGACTATTTTCAGTCCCTTCTATTTCTTAAATTCCTGAGAAAGCAACCCACTCTTTTATACAATTAGAAATGTGTGGAATGTGGTTTGTACTTACTCTAATTTAAAAAGTTATTCTAACTGAAAATATAGGGTTGATCTTTGTGTTTCACTTCACTACTGGGAAGTTCTGTTATAATATCACCAGCATTGTACATTTCATGGGTTCGGGAACTACCAGATAACGGAAAGCCTGGAACAAAAAGGATAACTAAGTAATGTAGTGGGCTACATAGATGTCTCCATACAAATGATAGGCACGCTATAATGGACAACTGTAGTGAGGAATCTAGAAATCATGTACTTCATTAGTCTGTACTTCCAGATGAGAATGGTTCTAGTTACCCAGAGGTGCATGGAAGTGCTTGAACCAAATCCCTGATGTTTTTTCAACTATATTAGTGTTCCATCACTTTGTCAGTAGTGACATTTGAAGCTGGATAATTATTTTCTCTATAGTGTTGTCCTATGCATTGTAGGAAGATTAGCTGCTTCTACCAAACGCTAATAGCAATCCCCACACCCTGCATGCCCAATGTTGTCACAATCGAATACCTAGCTACATACTGTCTTTGTTCCTTGGAGGACGAATTGCCTTCATTTGAGAACTGCTAACCTATACCATACATCATTCTTTTCTTTCTAAGAGAGCCACTTTGGCAGACAGTGTGCTGTCAGAGGAACCTGACTGCCCCTTCCTGCATGGCTCTGTGCTTATTTACAAAATATCTCAACCTAATGATAACAGACTAGCAAAATAAGAATCTCACCTGAGTTCCTAAAAAAATATAGGATATTGTATTTATATTTGAGGTAAAGAACTCACCGGAAAGCTCCTGTGTAGCCATAGTATGTCTCTTTGTTGTTGGGAGCACACACAGTTGGGCCAATACAGAGATCACAGAGACTGGAATTTTTCAGAGACCCAGGGGCACAGCCTTGACTGAAAAATTCATCTGTGCAGAAGGACAGGTGGAAGTCAGCTCTTCCTGATACTGCTGGCTTTTATCTAACACATAACAGGGCTGCATGGTCCAGGAGAAGTACACATTTAATTCATTCTGTGACCTGCCATCCACCAACTCAGAACTGATAGACTATAGGCTGTAAAACTGAGGTTGGGAAAAGGAGCTCATCACCACTGCATTTCAGGGTGGAAGGGATTCCTTTGAGCATCAGGACAGTGTTATCCTAGGCTGAAGAAGGAAGAAATAAAATTTCTGAGCTTGTAGAACCTGTTTTCAGATGTCCCCTTTACTATGCCAACAAGCTCAACATGAAGACAAGGAATTTTCCTTGGAGTTTAGCTCTTTGCCCGCAGGTGTAAAAGCACAGACAGGAAGGAGACAGTGCCTCAAACGTGCAGAGGTCAGGAGCCCATTGGGACCAAAAAATAAAGGGACAAAGGGCAGAGGCCTGAACAAACTCAACTAAGTAAACTAAAGGTAAGTTAAGTCTTGAGGAAAATTGGAGGTGCAAAAATACAACTGATGGAATCTCCTGGCAATGGGATGCCTGCCTGGCAAAGCAGCGACAGATCTGCGTGTTTGCACATCCTCTGACCTTTTGTCTGTGTGCGCTGCATAAGCTTTTACATCCAGGCACTTCCTTGGTATCCTCTGCCCCACCCCCATCTAGTGAGGGGTTTTTTCTGTTCTTTCTGATAAACCACACAACCCAGCCCCTTCCCACTGTTTGCTGTTCTGTTGTACCCTTCTGCACCACCTCGTCATAAGAACGTGAAGGGGAGAGAGCTGGCTACACCATGACTTGTGGATGTGACCCCAGCTCTCCTATGATTCATGTCAAACTGATGTACCAGAGCATGGTGGTGCAGAGATATGTTCTCCTCTCTAATACCTAGGTACACAGGGTTTTCTAGATTTAGTAACCAGATTTAAAGGCCTCCATCCAATGAGGCTCTCCTTTTTAAGGAGCTGCCCAAACTTGGAGCTGGCAGGGAGGAAACAGAAAGCAAATGTTAATCAGAATCATTGTAAAACATTTGTCTGTAGGTGTCTTACATCCAGAAGCTTAAGGGGGTAGAAATAGATTTGTACCTGATTGTATTCAAAGAACATGCATAGAAAATAAACAGATGTCTACACCTAGAGGAAGCACAGGAGCTGGACAGTGACTCAGTATGATTCCCAGCACCTTCGAGTACCAGGGATTACCCACATTCACACAGCCTAGAACTCCTACGGTGGGGATTGCTAGCTGTGTATCCAATATGCATTTCCCTTTGTTCCCGAGTAACAAAAATTTAGTTTTATTTGGGGTAGGAACACGTTCAAACGGAAGATTATATTCTCTTTTATAGGCCACTGTGGTTCTGAGCAATAGGAAGAAGTTAGCTAGAAGTTGGTTAAATGTCCTGGAAGGCTCCTTTATAAAGCCAGCAATAGGTGTAAACTTCCACTCGGTCTAACTTGGTGCTTGGGACCTGGACTGTGGATGTGATCGCAACTATTGAACATGGAAGCCTCTTGCTGGAAGTGGTGGAGTAGAAAGAGGGAGAAACCGTCAGGATCATACTAGTCGTGGACTGCTTACCTCTGGTATTTTTAATAAGAAATGAAAGCAAAGGTATACTAACTTAATCCATTATGAGCAACTGAAATGAACCATTTTGACTTAGCTGCCCAGCTCCCCAACCCCCCTTTCCATTTTTGATATTTCCTTGAGGGTCACTCTTACAAATACTACTTCTATGGAACCAGGACTCACAGCATCTAGTACCACACTTCTCTCCCACGGGACTCTCCTTTCTACTGTGACCTTGCCACAACTCCTTCCCAGGATTCACTCACCAAATCTGCAGTGGTTGATTCTGTTGTAGAGCAGGCCCATGGGGATGTTCCAGCCAGCGGTTCTGTCTACTGCGGTGTGGCAAGACTTCTTGCCCTCCAAATTATTCCAGTTGATGTCAGGATCTGATTTCTTCACCACTGCCACACCATAATACCCTACAGGAAAGATGGAAGAAGAGAAGTGTCAATACCTCTGAAGTCTCCGAAGTGTCTGCTTCCAATCAAAGGGCAGCATCTCCACAGGGCAGCAAAGATGTCCTGAATCATTCATAGTGTCCCAAGAGGATCTGGGCGAGTGTGGTAAAATTAAGGGGCTTGACAGAGATTAATCTGAACTGTAAAGACAAAATACTAATATCATCCAGTCCCCCATTATGATGTATAATTTTCACATTTTCATGTGTCCATTAAAAAAATAAAATACACAAAAAACTAAAATACTAAGAATACATTATCATTACAGCAGTGGCTGATATATAACCCTTTCCTGAATACATAAGTTACTAAAGTTAAAATCCACAATCCATGTCCTAATGTATTACTGCAGAGAAATGGATACTAAATGCTATAGCTAATGAAACCCCAGTAATTTATAAATCAACATACTTTGAGATCGAGTAATATAAGACCATAAACAACAAGGGGTAATCAGACTAGACATTTTCTGATAGAACACAATTTTATACCAAAGTAGTTACACAAAGTGGAAAATATAAAGAACAAACCAGCTGCCATGTTTAGCAGTAAATACATGCTGGTCTTTATAGTGAGAATTTAAGCATCAATTCAAGATTTCAGCTTCCCAGTTTATTCAAATCAGAATATTGTTTCCAGCAACACAGAATTCGTATCTATGGAATAAGAATGGCTCTTTCTAGAGTTGCTAAAGAGCTTAGCTCCTCCCACGATGGGGAAAGGCTAGGCGGTTGCACGCATCAGAAAGGACAAGAAAAGATTGCACTGATGGTTGTCTGCAATATAGTCTGCAGGGCCTGAGCACAGCCCCAGTGCTCACCTCCTGACTTGCTCCTCCCCATCTTCCCAGATCCACCCCTAGTTGGACCCCTGGGTGAGAGCCAGGTTGTCCTGGGTTTCCTGAGCCCAGACCTGGCTGGGAGGTCAAGTAATTTTATGATTCTAGACACCTGTCTTTGTAGAGTGTCTACTCAGCCTAGTAAGGAATAAATAAGCAAGTTTCTTTGACTAGTGCTAACCCTCATGCAGGCCTCATACAGTTTGAGGTGGTGGGAAGCAGTAACAAACCCTAGATTTGGTGTAACGCTGCACAATCCATAAATTATCTGAACCCTAGGTTCCTCTTATGCATCTTTAGAGGATGCCAATCCCTAAATTATAGGATTAAATGAGAAATCCTATGTACAAGTTACTTCAAGTGTAAAGGACCAACCATCATTATCAATTACTATCCTTTCATGATGCTTTTCCGTTCTAAAGAAGATCTCTCCCCATTGTCTACTTGTGATATGAATTTTAAATTTTCCTAACCACTTCTCCAAAATAATGGCAATTTGCCTTTTAATTCCTGATTCCAACTTACCTTTTTCTGGTGGTCTATGACAATTAGGGTTTTCTGAAGAAAAGAAAATGAAGAAAGTATTAAACACATACAGATTTTAAAAAATCAAGCCAGGCATGGTGACATACCTGGTGACAATCCCAGCACTCTGGGAGATTTGAGCCCAGTCTGGGCAACTTAATGATTTATTAAGACCCTGTCTCAAAATGTATTTTAAAAAGAGGGATTGAGAATTGGTGGGAAAGCTGGGGTTGTAAATCAATACAAAGGGCCCTGGGGTCAATCCCCAGTGCTTTAAAAAAAAAAGTCATGCCTTTTTCATGCAATAATTAAGAATAAAAAGAATCAGATAAAACTACTCATGTCTCCATTTCTCAACAAGTCCAGACTCCCTGAATGATGCAAGGTCTTCAGTTGCTAGCCTCTAGAATTTATACACAAACTTTAATTTTCAAATTTCCCTCTCTGCACAGAGCCCACATAGGGTACAGGCTGACTATATTTAAATCTTTGCATGGAGGCAGCAGGAATAACATGAGTTCTAGAAATTGGAAGACTTGCCAGAAATCCTAGCTGTCCTCTGCAGAGGAGTTACTTCTAGCAGAAATTTCACAGCATTCTGAACTTCCACTCCCCAGCCCTGCGGGGTATGATAACTGCTTTCTTTGTAAAATGACTGTGAAGACTCTACACATAGAGTCCAGAATCGAGATAATGGGAGACCTTCAGTAAAGGACAGCCACAATGAGAACAGGACTGTGATTTTCCCATATCCTCTCTCCATAGCCCAGAAGGAGGAAAACAGAGGGTGCTGTCTTGCACTTACCATAGTTTTCTGCCAAAACAGGCACCAGACCACACTGGCTGGCTATATAGACAAATCCGCCATCCAAGGTCATGGCATCTGCTTCTCCTTTCTGCAGATACAGCAAATCACAGCAGTTGAAAAGGAGGTGCTATTTCCTACTCATCTGTCCTCCTAGCTGACTCTTTGAAGAGTTTCCCCAGCACAAGTTCTGAATAGCAGGGAAATAGCAAGTAACGGTTCGGAATCCCTAAAAGATCAGTCAGATATCCCTAACATAGAAAATAAAATGTATTCTCATGTTCAGCAAACCATCATCACCATCATGAACTGATGATCAATTTTAGGTGGCCCACTCTCAATCTTCCTGTCTTCTCATAGGACTCGTTGCTCTAGAGATAGTCCTACAACACCTGTCTGGACCCCTGAATTCTCACCTCTGAGATGGAGGAGTAGAGTTGGGGACATGGGGCTGTGTCTGTGGAACCTCCTGACAGGGCTCCAGCCCCTCCTTCACTTTAGCCTCACTGGCTGTGTGTTTTTTCAGTACTTAGTACAAACAAGAGTTTTACAAATGAGGCAAATATTCACAAATGGCCCAGTACTCAGGGATAATAAACTGGGTTTCACAAAGCCTTAAAATCAACGAGATTTGAAAGACTTCCCTTGGACCCGGCAGGATGCTTTCTATGAATATACCATAAAGGAAGTCAGATGTGTACATGGGCAACTATCTGGGTAAAAAGTATGAGTAGGACAAATCAGAAATGTGATATATAAACACAAAAGGAGGAGCCTGGGATTTAGCTCAGTGGCGCCATGCCTGCCTTGCAAGTGCAAGGTCCTGAGTTTGATCCCTGGTACTGGAAAAAAAAAAAAAAAAAAAGGAGAACCAAACTATGTTAGGTGACAGAAAAATGGCTAAGTAAAGGCTGCACATCCATGCTATGGAATAGATATTAACATTAAGATATCATGTTTTTCTTTTTAAAACATAAACATATGTGGAAAAAAAAAAAAAAAAAAAAAAGGAGAACCAAACTATGTTAGGTGACAGAAAAATGGCTAAGTAAAGGCTGCACATCCATGCTATGGAATAGATATTAACATTAAGATATCATGTTTTTCTTTTTAAAACATAAACATATGTATATTTACTTCCCTCGAAAGCAAAACCAGACTACACAACAACAAATCTCTTCAAGAGTGATTTGATTCTGTTGGAGATATAGCTCAGTGGTGCAGCACTTACTATGTACACGAGTCTAGCTTCAAACACCATCATACACACACACACACACACACACACACACATGCAAAGAAAAAACATAGAAACAGTCCAATGATTTGATTCATAAGCATTTGAAATTTATATAAGTTCACATCAGTACCTTTTCTTTTTTTAAATACTGTAAGTTAAAAGCCCTACAGCACAACCAATTCATGTTTCTTATTTCTCCTTCTGCACATTCAAACCTTCAAAACTGCAAACTGAACATATAAATCATGTTTGAAAACTTGAAACTTTAAAATACTGCCTCTCCCCATGTGATTCAGAAACATCTGTATCCCTGACAATAAAATCAAAAGTGGTAAATTGTAGGAATAGAAAATGAAAGAAGGTGCATACATACATTTGCTATCTTTCTATTTTCCTAATTCTGTCAGTTAAAAGTAAGGATGTCCTGAGAAATATCGGTCTGGGCTTAATGTGAAGAATTGAGTGAGCCTCACAGTTTGAGAATGCATTGGAAGTATTTTCCTATTTGATCTGAGTTTGCCCTAGCAAGCTGATGCTGAGAGGGAAACATTATTTTCTTTCATACATTTACTCAGTGTTGCTGAGTGTCTCCTCCTAGAGATGTGTTTTAAGTGCTCTGTATTCAGCACCACACCTCCTTCTTCCCCCAGACTAGCTTCAGGGTTCACAAGTCAGGGCTCAAATTAATTTTAATGGCATTTTAAACTGTCTAGACTTGCTGCAACCGCAGCTCCAGAAAGCACCTTACGTACCCTGTTTTCCAACTATTAGCTCTTCCCAAGTCCCTTGAAGTCCTCTATTTTGAGGTATTTCTTTTCATTTGTTTTGATTTGGCCCAACAGATCCAATGGCTAAGAATGATATCTGAACTGGTATGGTTACATGTACCTATAATCCTAGCACTTTAGGATTATACTAGCACTTTGGAAGGCTGAAGCAGGGAGATCACAAGTTCGAGCCCAGCCTGGGCAACTTAGTGACTTAGAGAGATCCTGTCCCAAAGTAAAAATAAAAAGGGTTTGGGATATAGCTCAGAGAAAAGGCCCTGGGTTCAGTACCACAAAAAAGAGCAATATCTGTGCATTTTCACAAATACCATCTACTAGTGAGAGATTCAAAGTTTCTTCTACTTTCCCAGGAAAAACATACTTTCCTGGCCTATGCATGTTCTTTTTTTAAACAAGGTCCATTTTATGATCAAATTCTTTAAATAACCATCAAATCCCCCAGTAGCTCTAGTCCAGAGCCACTTCTGTTTGTTTTTTATCTACAAAGAAATCCACTTCTGTCTGTGCTTCATTGTTGCAGTATCTTATGGTTACATTTTGGCTTCCACCCTAGGCTGTGGTTTGTGAGTATTACAGCATCCACCTGTTTTCCAGTTTCTTGATTTTATTTCGCAGAAATTAATAGGGCTCCCTCTCCTGCCCATATTGCAATCCCACCCTTTTGCCATTGCTCAGCCACCACAGATTCATTGAATCCACACCCCTGACCAATGGGAATTCAAAATCACTCATGTTCATGGTTACAGAAAGTGAAGACTCGGGTTTTGAGTTGGTGGGCTTTGCTTTAATTTGGTTTGACTTTTTTTTTCTGTATTTACTCAGACAAAAATAAAGTGAAATATATGTTTAGAATAGTATAAAGTAATTTTTGAAATGTATGAATATAAAATAACACAGTTGATTGTCTATTTTTACTTCATAATAAATGGTTTTGAAAAGTTAGAATTGCTAGATTTCAGCAAGAATCTGATAATGGCAGGTAGTTCCAGTGCCTTCAATGTGCCTCTGTTTTAATTTATAGTTTATTATGAAGGCTCCAACTCAAAAACAGCTAAAGAGAAGAGTTGCTTAGGGCAAAGGCTGCAGGGAGAAATGAATTCAGAGCTTGGAGCTTGTAAGCCCCTTCTAGGCACACTACCCACCAACAGGCACCAACATAGAAGCTCCAAGTTAGGTTTTTTAAAAAATGATGTGAAAAGTCCACTAGATGTCAGGTGGTACATGGCAGTAAACAAGCTATATGATCTGATCCCACTAAGAGTTTTTTCTATTAGTTACATAAGTAAGTAGTACTTTTGATTTTCTTCTTTCTATCATTCAGGATTTTCAAAATTCTCTACAAGCAAACATGGAGTACTCTCTTGATCAGCAAAGCAAATTTGCATTTGCCTGAAAAATCAAAACAGAATCCTACAACACTCATCATGATTCCCCAAAGGGCTTAGGACATCTACACTGTGGGCCAGCCTCCCCTAAGCAGAACATGGCTCAGTTTGCCCTGTCAGAGTACACTAATATGAGGAGGAAACTCACAGGAGGAAGCTCCTGTGGTGCTGTGCTCATTCAGTTAGAACAAGGACCTTGGAAATCAGGGTGTCTGCATCACGCCCAGGCACTGGCTCAGCCTTAGCAGTGGGACATCAGTGAGCAATGGCAGAGAGGCTGCCCTATGTAGGCAGAAGTGACATACCATGATCTTGGCAATGCAGTCTTCAGTGGTCTCTGCAGACTCACACTCTATTTTCCCTTCACTTTGAGCGCTCCACGTATCACACTTGGTCCTCTCATGGTGACCCAGTGCACACCACTTCAGTGTCTTTGCTGCCTCCTGGGAGCTTTCTGGGCCTATGGCAGAAGAAAAAGAATCAAAGATCAGAAGAGAGGCCTCTGGGGTTCTCTGGTGTTTATCAATGTTACTGACTGCCCTCATGCATGCACAGTAGGATTTGTTAGCAAAAAACAAACAGATCCCATTTGGAGAATTCATCATCCCTGAAAGCAAAGTTAATACACAGTCTCTTGGTTTCTGTTATGGCTTGTATCTAGATGTCTCCCCAAAGCCTCATGTGGTCATAGGTAGGGGGTTTTGGAGGTGGTTGGATCTGGGGTGTGTGATGCTGGGATTGACTCATGGTGCAAGGCTAGGATTAAGGGCATGAATGATACCAATCCTAGGCAGGTATCCTGGATAAAATATAAGAGACAGAAAGAGGGATGGTTAATCATTCCTTGTTGCCTTTGCTGTCTTCTGCCTACCATGAACTATTTCTCCTCTGTGATGCCTCTCTGCCATGCCACTCTGCCTTGGAGCCAGTTGACTATGGACTAAAAACTCTACAAACTGTGAGCTAAAACAAAACTTTCCTCTTTTTAACTTTGGGTGTTGGGTATTTTGGTTTCTGGGTGATATTTTCATTCTTCTTTTTACAAATAATACTTAACCACATGATATGTACATATTTCTGTGTCTATTTATAGTGTCAGTCTTGCTTCAGGAGAACATGAGTTCCAACAGGGCCATGCCTGTCCTGTCCTCCAGAGCACTTCTGTTTAAGTGGTGCTAGCACATGATCAATGTAATTAATGTCTGAGGAATAAGTGAACACCTGCTCCTCTTTCAGACTCAGTCTCGAATCACTTTCTCAGGGCAGTCTTACCTCAACCTCCAAGCTAGGGCCTGTTTTTCTTGGCTTTGTACATTCATAGGACCATGTTTTTGTGCTGTTTTTATTGTTTCCCTCCTAAACAGATCTCTCATTTGATAATGGATGACTCAGAAATATGTCTAGTCATTAAATATTTGTCTTCTCCCTGGTCTGAAAGTTCTAGGATAGCAGAATCTAGTATATGTTTGTATGTTCAGCTCTGGACAGAGTTTATGACTAAGATGCTCAATATACGTCCACTGAATGAACTAATAAGCAAACAAAACCCCAGTGACCCAATAAAATTGAGGCTTGGAAATGACCTTTCTAGACCTCCAGCTTCATCAAGGCACAAGTTGGCCATAGCATAGGCTAGAGATGTACGATCTTTAGGCACATCTTTTTATTTTACTTATTTTTTGCCAGCCTAATTTGGCTTCACAAAGGACAACCCTTATTTATGAAAGGAAAATGATGTAAGCACCAATCCAAATCATGAAAAATATTAGTTCCCTTCAAAGACTTTGTGATGTCCAGGCCATCTCATTAAGACTACGGCCACTTAGCATCAGTCTAACACTGAGTTCATGGGCAGTACAGAAAAAAAAGGACACCAGGAGAGGGCTTCAAGTCCCTGTGAAAGCTGGAACACTGATCCTTGCTCTTGATAGTTTTCCCAGCTCCCGCAGTCACCTAGTCCTTCCTGAGTACTTACATATGCCTTCCCGTAGATTCCGAATAGCAGTGACATACTGATAGCCCAGATACATCCTATAGTCCATCCTGGGGGGAATCCTTAAAAACCCTTGTGCAGAGTCTTTAAACAGCAGGTCCCTCCCCTGAGAAGAGCTGAACAAGTGGAATTCTTTCGATTTGTCGACGCCGAAATGTTCCTATTCACAGTAAAATGAAAGAGTCAATGGCAACAGCAAGAAAGAGAGGCTGAAATATAGGACTGAAAGGAAAACAAGAACCCCACCCCACCCCCGCAAAAAAAAAGCCAAAATGAAAAACTACAAGAAACTTCAAAATGCTAGGCGAGAAGGCAGGCAAAGGATAGTTACAATGTCCTCCATGTCCTACCTTCTCTGCTCAGTACCTTCTCAGGACCACACATGCACCCTTTTCCCTGAGTGAATTTCTGAGCCTGTCACCGTGAATGGCTAAGAGACCACTGAGAACAAGAAATGTATTTGTTTGTTTGTTTTTTGAGACAGGGTCTCACCATGAAGTTGAGACTGACCTGGAAATCACTATGTAGCCCAGGCTGGTCTCAAACTCACAGTGAACCTCCTGCCTCAGCTTCCCGAGTTCTGGGATTAAAGGAGTGCGCCACCATGCCTGGCTAAGAAATGTGTTTCATCCAGAGGTTGGCAATGCTGCTTCAACTCTCAACAGGCAGATGCGGGAGGGCTGGATAAGGGACGTTAACTCAGCCCCACATCCACCACTGTAGGGGCTGACAGCAGAAGCAGCTCCCTCTGAAGTCAGAGTGTGAGACGCTTGGGAGAGAGGGCATTCCCCTGCTGGAAGGAATGTCATGTGTGCCTTCATGGAAGTGATGGCCATGAAGGCCTGGCTCATACGGAAAGGAATGGAATAATGCAAAAGGAGATGTCATTGGTCAGCAAGGTACAGGGTGATGGATGGTACTAGCACAGGAGGCTGCTTAATGCTCTGGGAGGAGTCTCAGCTAGGGTGTCTGGAATGGTCAACAATGTATGACAAGACTCCCACTGTGCCCTGAGCATACAAAGACACCCGGAGTGGCCAGATGGAAAGAAGAAAACCCCTAAATCCAAGTAGGAGTAGAGGACAGCACGTGGGGATACCTGGGCCTGGCTGAGGAGCTCCCAGATCAAATTATCCTTGTCACCCGTATTCCGAGCCACAACAGCGTGAGAAGGGACCTTGGCCAGATAGCACTGCGCGTACTCATCCACTGGCTTCCGGGTGTTGTCAGGGCACAGTAGCTCGTACTGGTCCCTGTCAGCCTTCTCAGGCAGGGCCTCTGAGGAGGGAAAGATCAGATGAGCAGACTGCACATAGAGCCATGAGCTGTGGTCTCCCCCTTCCCACCTTTACAGTCCTGTTGATCACAGAGAATCAGGGAGCATGCAGGAAAGTGATTCTGCAGGCAGATGAAGGCACCAAAGCTTCCAATGCCAATTCCAGCAATGACTGCCTCACATCCATGAGTCCTATCGCTTCAGGATGACTGGCAGCCAAGGTGAGCCAGATGAGCCTTTGCCATGGCAATGCTGCCCCTGAGCCTGAGGCATTGTGTGGTGAGGTTGAGGGATAGAAAGACGTCCACAAGAACCTACCTCTGCACAGGCAAAAACCCAAGCACTAATAGGCCTTGTATGCTTATGTCTTACTACTGAACATGAAAAGGGGGGAAATTAAGAAAAAGTAGAACGCCCACTACTTAGGGGAGACCTGCCAGAATCTTCACCCATCACTTACCAAATATGGTTAAGTGCTTGATGAAGGCCACGTCCCCACCACCTTCCTTGAGACACCTGTGCAAAAGGTAATGTTAGGAGGGCTCCTGCAGAGCAGGTCCTGCTCCTGCACCTGGGGGTCCTGATCACAACAGTCCAGCCCCTGGACAAAAGCAGAGGATCAGGGAGGCCTGTGGAGCGCCATGGGATGCTGCATCCAGGGCACCACTGTGATGGGGGATGAACTCATAGGAGATGAAGGTGCCCGATTTATACCCCAAAGAGCAAAAAGAAATTGAAGATATTTTAATGTAAAAGAGTTTTTAAACTGCTGATATAGAAGATACTGTAATGATGTTTCCTCTCCTGAGGGTAGAAATGTGCCATCGGCTGCCTATAAAACTTTAACCACAGTAAAAAGAGGGCATGAGACTGCAGCCATAGGAGCAATCTGGATAGAGGCAGTGAGGGGAGACCGGAGAGGAGCCAATAAAGTGAGTGTGTTACAGTGCTGTAATAGTGAGACAGGGTCCATCACTTAACAATGGGCCTGGACCCTAGCATGTGCCTATTTTTTCAGACTGCCCAGTCCAGTGATAGGAGACAATGGTCAGGCTGGAGGGCTCTGAGCTGAGAAAAGGGGTGCCCAGAAAGAGACTTGATCATTAGGGTCAGATAGAGGGAACACAGGCTGGCCTGGTCTCAGGAGTCCCAGACTGTACCACTGACTTCCTGGGAATGGATCAGGCCTCCTTGGTGCCCCCTAGACAGGCAAGGCTCTGCTTGAGGCCAGAAAATGACTCCCACCCTGATGACATTTATCACTTTGAGCACCATGGAGCAGCAGACACTCTTACTCACTTGAAAGCACCTGCATAGCCAAAGTGCGGGTGAAGGGAGGAGCAGCCACACCCTGGACACAGTTGACACAGTTGAGGGAAGGCCGCCCCATCTGCACAGGGTACACAGCTGCCTGAGAAGAAACTGGCCACCGCTGCTCAACACACAAAGAAATGGACCATAAGGTGTGAGCAGGGCTAGCTACACCCAGTGATATCTCCCAGCCCAAGCTCATTAGGGAACAGAAAGGGACTAAAGTAAAACCAGCAAACCAGTCCCAGGTCAGTCTTACTTGTGCTACCTCTTCAAGATCCAGGGTTTTCAAACAGGAACAAATTAACCCCCATTCTACTACCACCGAACTGAGGAAACAGATCTCTGCTTCTCTCCAGCCAAGGCTTGTCTCAGGGTTTTGTCAGCAAACTACCCCCTACCCACCCACCTTGTTGGGTCAGTGGCTGGGACAGCTCAGAGAGCTCCCCTATGGGACCCATGCCCTAGAGATGGGAAAACCATCTACAGGTTTCAGGCCAGCCCCATGGCCAGCAGATGGCCTCGAAACAACCTCCAGTACAATGAGACACACACATACCACAGGCAGGAACTCTAGGGAAATAAGAGGGCCCCATGACCATGATCCACCTGGACCCTCTGCAGGCCCTTCTGCCCTTTTCTCCTCTCCCAAGGATGGCCTCTGCTGGGGTGGGGGACTCAGCAGAAAAGGCTGAGACCTCCCACCTCCCAGATGTGCCAGCCCTCATCCGTGGGCAGCTGCCATGGGCCTGTCAGTCTCAAGCTGGCTAACTCCCTCTCCTATCCCAGAGTTCACCCGACATGTCCAGCTAATCTTGGCTGTGTGATCCCAGCATGGCTCATGTGGCCATCTAGAGCAGAGACTCCAGCTTACCTTTTTCAAGAGGCTTACGTGGCTCAGGTAAGTCACAAAAAAGTAAGCCAATGGGAATGTTCCACCCAGCAGACCTGCCAATGCCTGTGTGGCAGGACTTCTTGCCTTGGAGCTGGTTCAGCTGGAAGTTGGTGCCCTTCTTCACCACGGCAACAGCAAAGTAGAAGGTCTGTGGATCTGCAGAGGGACAGAGTGGGTGGAAGGCAGAGCCTACACAGAGAAGTCTGCACAGAGAAACGTTGTTCACCACTACTGGGCTCTGGAGGAGGGAATGGGACCCACAGGCTACTTATGTTGGATGGAGGAATCAGATACAGATTCCTAGGCTTGCAGGAAAAAGAAAAGGTGAAGGTACATTTGTAATGTACCTTGCCCCATGCAAATACAGGGACAAGAAGGCCAAATGCAGATGTGCACCAAATGCTTTGCTTGCCCAGGACCTTTAGTGTATTTGCCTATACCTATCACCCTAGACCATCAGGAAACTGGAGTTGTGGCCCCAGAACCTGACATTCCCCACCTCCCTCAATGTGTTTTCTGTCCCCTGGAGCAGGCCCAAGGATAGCCAGATTGACATGAGAAGACTTCCTGAGTTGTCAGGGTTCCATTGTGTGCTCCAGAGTGGGTTCTTTCTTTTACATGGCATCTGTGGTTCCAGGGGAACTTCAGGGACCCTAGACACACCCCTAGATCAATGGCAGCTCAAAGGCCATGGAGGCCTGATTTGTGACTTCACCCAAAGATGAGGGGCATCCGTGTCTAACATCCTATAAATACCTGCTTGCTAAACACAAGACTCAGTGTCTAGTAGGAGATAAGTTCTACAAGCCCTTCATGGGTGTTCAGGGAGGACTTACTCTCTTCTGTCCCATAGAACTCTGCCACTACAGGCTTCAGGTTGTTGGGTGCCAGGCCTGCCTCATGCACCAAACCTGCATCTACTGTAACAGCATCCGCTTCACCTGCCTGAAAGAGAACAGACCAGATCTCAAGGAAGCCTTCATGTCTGAGGAAGGCGCACCTGAACTCGGACCAGTAAGGAGTGACTATCAAGGCTCCAGGGACTAAAAGAACTAAGACTAAAAGAACCCTCAGTTTGACCACACCACACAAAACTGTTGGCTCCAGTTGACTCTTCCTTGAAAGGACACTTGGCTACCATATTTCTACCCCTCCTACATAAAGGAAGGGATAGATTATTTTTTCTCTTTTCTCCAGTTAGGTGCACAGCCCTTGGCCCGAACTCCTTTGTGGATTTGTGCTAGATGATCACAAAGGCTTGACCTAGCAAGCTCGGGGAGCTGTCTGCCCCATCCCAGACCTGGGCACAGCCAGGGCACTGCAGTGGCTGACAGGGATTGCAGCCAAGGGCTCTTATACCTCTTTCCATTCCCCCAATCTGCATTCAGAGACTCCCTTTATGTTGAGACTTTCTGTGAGGTCTTCCTCAGATGACGACCTTTTCCTGGGGGAAGATGGAAACTTTGAAGCCACTTGTCTCCACCCTTACTCAATACACAATACTTTTCTTTCATGTCCTGAGCCCCTACCACTGCAGGAGCCTTTGATTCAGGCCTTTCTCTGAGTTTAGCTTCTTGGTTTTACTATGTGCCTAGTGACAAAAGCATGGATAATTGCTTCCATCTTTTGCGCACTGTTGGTGTAATTGTCTGCTGAGATGTCAGGCAGCTCACCTTTCTCCAACTCAGCTCCATTTTATAAGGGACAAAACTGTGGAAAGCAAAGGTTTAATTCATTTTCTTAGGCCACAGTGTTTATTTTACATTGTGCTTCTATGAAACCTCACTTTTAAATCAATGACTCACTTGAAGTATTATAGCTGCCTCCATATTAAGTGTATAGCTTATTTTCTCTTTGCTTGAACTCTTAAAGTGAGCCAAACTATCTTGTACAGACTCTCAAGAGTACATTTTTTTTACTCCTTTTACTTTCTGCTTCTTTTAACAAAATGATTTTTCCAGGAGCCCTTGCCAGTTTTCTCTTAACAGTTCTTATTGATCAAAATATGAGGCAAAACTATAGCTCTTTGATCTTCATCATGTTACAGGGAGATAATAAGACAAAGTATTTCTTTCTCTTTTTTTCCTTCTTCCTTTTAGACAGCATCTTACTCAGATGCTCACACTGGCCTCAGACTTGAGAGCCTCCTGCTTTAGCTTCAGAGTGCTGGGATTCACCTCCACACCTGGCTACATCTTTTCAAGGTGCATCCACATTGCCGCATGTAATAAAATTTCATATATTTTAAGGCTGAAAATCATTCATGGTATGTATATGCCACATTCTAGTTATCCATCCATGCATCTGTGGACATTTGGATTGTAAAAACATATTTTTTCTGTGCTAGGTTTAAATCCAATACCTCACACATTTAAGCAAACCCTCTACCACTTAGTGAGATCCTCTCAGATCCATAAAAGTATATCTTTAATATGACAAAACATGTCAAAAAAAGTTTAAATGGTTGATACATCTACTTTTAGTATCAAAAATATTTAGGAGCCAAAACAGACCCTTCTGTTTCACAACAACTACACTCAATTAGGTCTTTGTGGCTCTATTTAAGCCTGTGGATACCTTCCCTACCCCATCCTTCACACCACAGAATAAAAATGAGAAGGCAGACAAGATCTTTGCTCAGGGCACAGGGACTGGTGATAACATTACTTGGGGCTTCTTGGCTGGAACAAGAGGGTCCTAGTCAGGAGTTGCTGTAGGGCTCAGGAAGCCTGGGAGCCTAGGCCTGAGAGAGGGGCATCAGCACTCTAGCAGCAGCAATTCCTGGGAACCTTGAGCCAGTGGGAATGTGACCTCACACATACAGATGGCCAAATCCAGATGAAGGTGAGCAGTAGCAGGTGGGCTAGAGGGATGCTGGGGGCATAGATGATGTAATCAGGAAGGAAGAAGACTCAACTGGCTAGGTCTTTACCGCCCCTTCCCCACCCCACTGATTTGCTGAGACAGGCCAGGCTCCAACTGGCTGTGTCTACCTCTTCTCTCCCACCAGTTTCTTCCTGCTTGCTTTGTGCTAAGAACTGCAGAAATTTCCAGACAAGGCAAGTCCATCAAAAAACCAGGGACTTGACCATACTCCAACATAGCTTTTGGCAGCAAAGGGCTGCATCCCTTGAACAACCTCAGCCCCCTTAATGTGCCAGCTGAGAAAACACTGCCAGGAAGGTTTGCTATTTCTTCCAGCCAACATGAAATCATTGGTTAGCCCTGACCTCCTTTTCTAAAAGCAATCACCGAAAAGGACTCACAATTATGAATATGCTTCTCTTGTGACTAAGAAGCATCTCTTTCAAGGACCCAAGAGGCATTCCTTTGAAAAGGAATCACCAGGAAGGATAAGGCATCATCTCCCAGCCACTGAGAAAAGGAGCCTAAAGTGGGAAACGGCCAGTCAGCAGTCACAGCTGACCCCTCACAGTCACACCGACCAACCTTTAATACTTCTGCTCTTCTCTGACTCTAATAAGTTCCAGCACTCCTCCAACCTTATTCTCCTTTTTAAAGCACCCAAGCTATCTCTGCCCAAATCAGAATGGAGCTCAGCTCTTTTCTCTATGGTCAGTGCTTATTGGCTAAAATGTGTTTTCCAAGACCCAACTAATATGTGACTATATTTATCTCTGAATCTTCCATTATCCCAGCTTCCTTCTTCCAGCCTACACAGCCTGGCTCCATCCCTGCTCAGGCCCTTTTCTGCACATTACTGATCGCTTCCTGGTACATTCATCCTTCATTCTTTGTGGGGCCCAACCCAGGGCTGTCCCTCAGAACTCACCATTACTGCTTCCTTCTCAAAGAGATTGTCCCCGACCACACAGGCCAAAACAGATTTCTCAGTGAGTCTTTGTCAGAACACTCTACTCTTTCCCTTCATTGTGTGTCCCACATTGTGAAACTATTTACTCCTTGTGTGCTTTTCTTCCCTTCTCTAACTAGGTTGTGAATTTGTGCACGGTAAGGCCCATTATGGGTTTAATTCACCACTTCAGCCCCAAGACCTAGCACCGTGTCACATGCATGGACACAATATTGAAAGCGTGAAAACTATTTTTGTAGACTGAGCAACAAAGGGATCCGCCAACATCTGTAATCATGACACCATTCTTCCTCTAATCATCATTCATCTTCTTCCCAATGATGCATTGAGAACTCCCAGCAGGCTAAAGCCATAGTTCAAGCAGTAGAGCCCTTGCCTGGCGTGTGCGAGGCCTGGGTTCTATCCTCAGCACAGTCCCCCCACCAAAACCATCAAGTAAGGCTATATATAAGCATTCCTTGTTTAACAGCCAAGTTACTTTCCTGTGACTCTGTCATTAAATAAGTAAGGCACTAAATGAGGAGTTGTATATATGTACATTACTATATTCGAAACACAGAAATGCTTAAAACTCCAGCTTGATGACTTTGCTTTTATTTGCATAACTGTTATATGCAGTACTATTATAAAAATGTAAAACTACAGTGCTGTACTATACAATACAATCATCAAAAATCACAGCATTGTACTGTAGAAGAAGCTACCATAAGGCTGCACTGCTGCTCACATTCCTATGTCCTAAGTCTGAATGAGGGTCCAATGAAGAACTGAACTTTGACTCTTACATAATTCTTATGACAACAGGTCATAAGTCCAGTTATTAAAGTGGGTTAAATGAGGAATATCTGTATAATGATTTTTATAACAAGCTAGTAGATATTCTTGCTTTTTCTCTGAGTACATAGAACTTAGTGCCCTAAAATAGTCACCTTTGGGCTGGGGATTTAGCTCAGTGGTTCTGCACCTGCCTTGCAAGCTCAAGGTCCTGGAAACTCAGGACCCCCCAAAAAAAAAAATCACCTTTCAGAATATAATGGGCTTTTGCTTTATATTCACATTAAAACGACCTTTCGGATTTCCATTTTCAAAGTGTCTTTAATAGCAGTGGAGGTTGACTGCCCCCCCCACATCGGCCTCTCACCTGTGAGTAAAGAATTGTCTCAAAATGACCAGAGAAGGAGAAAGTGTGGATTTCCTTGTACTCCCTGTAGGCTGCTGGGACTTACCGCAATGCTCTTGATGCAATCAAGGTGGGAGTTTTTCTTCACACAAATGACACGGGGACCATCTTCTGGAAGGACTTTTTTCATATTGTCACGGAAACTAGCACACTTGCTGGCCTCATGATCTGACACAGCACACCATCTCACAGTCTTCTCAGGGACAGCCAGACATAGCCCTAGAGGAGAGACACCAGAGGTATAAGGGACCTAATCCCTGTGCCGATGGAGATATAGTACCACCCTCTGAAGGTCCTTGATGGCCAAAAGCCCTCTGTGTTGTCCTCATCTAACTCTATCCCATGAGCACCACAGGGCACAGCCCTACTGCATCCCAATCCATATTCACCTTGCTTCCTTCCCTCATTGTCCTGACCTCAGTGTGCTCAACAGCATTTTCAGACACAGGTACTCAGCAACTCTGGAAGCCAGCATGTAGGAATTACGTCTTTTAGAGATAAAGGAGCTGGACGCACAGAATGACATTGTTTTGCCCAAGGTCACCCCATTTCTTAGCAGCCAAGCCAGGCTTGAAACCCATGTCTCTCCAGCCTCTTAGTCTCCAGCCCAGGGCACAAAGGAAGGTAACATTCTTAGTTACTTTGTGCCTTCTTGACCAGTAGTTACACATAAATAAATGAAAAGATCATGAATTCTCCTGTGACGCTGGTCTCCCATCCTCTCATTAGAAATAACTGGAAGCACCGCCTGACGTGGTGGCACACACCTATAATCCCAGCACTTGGGAGGCTGAGGAAGGAGGATCACTGTGAGTTTGAGACCAGCCTGGGCTACATAGTGAGTTCCAGGTCACATAGTGAGACCCTGTCTCAAAAAGAAAGAAAGAAAGAAAGAAAGAAAGAAAGAAAGAAAGAAAGAAAGAAAGAAAGAAAGAAAGAAAGAAAGAAAGAAAGAAAGAAAGAAACTGGAAACTCCATCTATCTAATAGTCTCCCTCTAACTCCACACCACTCGCATTGGCAGCCATACATCTAACTATTAAAATGCATGAGGGCTGGGGATTTAGCTCAGTGGTGCTGCTGCCTACCTTCACAAGTGCAAGGCCCCAAGTTCCATCCTCGGTACAAAAAAAAAAAAACAAGAAAAACAAAAACAGAAAAGCACAGCAACTCGTGGAGCCAGTGGGTTGAAAGCTTTGGCACCAGAAGATTCACAAAGTACAAAGCAAGGGAGGCAAGGCCAACTGTTCTTCAGGATAAATACAAGGGGATTGAGGGGCAATGACTACTCCCAGCTCCCTACTTTATTCCACCTCAGCCCCATGGGAAATCACAGGAGGCATCAAAATCAGTGGCAGACCCTTTCAAAACCATCCCTTCAACCTTCCTCCAAATCAGGCCTCCCAATTTCTACAGGCAACCGTGTCCTTAGTCATGTGTCACCTTGCACAGCCCCATGAGGTGACCTGAGATGAGGAATTTGGGGCCCTCTTTCATAATTCATAGTTTTCAGGGAAAAAATAATAACTGGCATGGAAGGCTCCAAGGCAGACAGCTGGAGTGCAAAGATGGCCCGACAACCTGGGGTGAGGCAGACCATCGGTCACCAGCCCCATGGCAGGCCACCAGCACACGACGGCCTCCACCCGGCCTGGCAGGCCTGGCATCAATGACCTTGCTGACTCTCCCAACCTCCCAGCAGGTGCCGGTACTACCGCGAGGAGCCTGGCCAGCATTTGACCCACAGATCCTGGCTTTGTATCCCATCCTCTGAACCACGCCATGCCTCTGCCCCCTTATACATCAAGGGCACTGTCTGACTGTTAACCCGGGCAGGGTCAGATCCAGTGGAGTGTTCGAATGCCACAGAAGTGTGGACTGAAGAGGCAGCAGTGAAAGGTTTGGGTAAACTGTGCTTAGAAGTGCTCTGAGTAATTGCTCCATTGCACCAATTGCTCCAAAAGTCACAAACGGAGAGAAGCAGCGGGAGATAAGAAGCGCAGGAAAAGGTGGCCAGAGGCTCAAGCAGGGCCCCTTAGAGATGCAGAGCAGAGCCATTTCTAGGACAGGAACGTGCAAAGGAAAAGCACCAGGGCTTCCAGCCTCCAGGGTATGCCTGAGTCTTCCTCCAGGCCCACACTCACCCAGGGCGGCGCAGGCCAGCAAGGTGCCCACAGCGATCCTCATTCTGCCTCCCTGTGTGGCGAGGAGCGGCGAGCAGAGACTGACCCGCTTCTGCGCCGCGGGCCAGTGCCTTGTGCCTATATCCCCGCCCCAGGCCACCCCGGGAGCAATCTTTGCCCTCCTTTGTTTGAGCAGCGTTGCCTAATCGCCCCTCATCCATCCCCCTTTCCTTTTAGCCCGATGATCGCCTCATTTCCTGAGCTGTGGGACAAACCCGCAAATGGAATCCAGAACAAAAATGCTGGCTAGAAGGGAATGAAAGAAAAATCCATTCTTTGTTCTCTCTGCTCTCTCTGTGCCAGGAGCGCGGCTATAGCAGTCCAGGGGTGGGGGTGGCTCTGCTCCGGACCCAGGGCTGCCTGAGCTGGAGCTGGCCTCCAGCCCCTTCCGCTCGGAGCTTGGGAATGGCAGGCAAGCCCGGCCTGGGGGAACTTGTAGGAGAAGAAAGCTGGGCTCAAGATCAATGAAGAAGACCTCAGTACCCTTTTCTCCCGCCCAGGTGTTCCTGAAAACTCTGCTCCTGGAGCTTCAAAGGATAACCTCTGGGGAGCAGTTCTCCATCTGCCCCTGGTCTCTGGCTCTTGGGCTGGAAACTTTCCTGTGGGAAGATACCCTGGGGTAGGGACATTCACAGGGGACTCAGAACAAAGTTTCACAGTAGTACAAAGAACAGCCCAGGGAGGATGTGGCCTGTTCTTAAAGCTTCAGAGCCACTCTGTCCCCCTCTAGCCAAGTAGTCTTCCAACTGCTTCGATTTACATCCTTATCACACAAATAACACTGTTTGTGTCTGCTCTATGTATATTTTAACTAAAAGTTATGTTTATTTCAATCATGAACAAGGAATAGAAATTTATAAAAGGATGAAAGATGAACCACACTCATTTTTAAATGTCCTGCTTTTCTGCCTTATATACAATAAATAAATCTCTGAGCACAATCTATACTCAGGGAAAGGTCAGGATTCTTCTAGTAAACTGTAAGTCCAGATTTTAGAGAGTTATCAAGGTAATGTTAGGGTTTTCAAAAATTACTTCTTAGTCTAATCAGATTGTCTTTGAGTCTGCCTCATATTTTAGTTGACAAAAAGCTCATACTAGACCTAGTTGATGTGCTAATTGAGCTGCTTTGCTTTTTTTTTTTTCCTAGTGTTTGTATTATCAGAGCTGTTTCCTCATTGCAGTTTCTTTGCAGGAATACTACAAATACTACATTTAAGTCACTTGAGTGTCTTGTGAGAGTTGGAGAGGTAAAGTCAGATTTTTCTAATCTGTATATCCACTTAACTAGGCTAATGCAAACTGCAAAATGTGGAAAGAAAAAAAAAACACCAAAAACAAAAGACAAGGTCAGGACATCACAACCATCCAGCACATCCTTTCTGACCCATTTCACTATGGGCTGATCCCCAACTTCTTTCAGGATGCCTCAGAAGCATGCTGCATTGATTGCTATCTCTGGTCTTTACCTACAGACCCAGCAGAGGAGACAAGGCTAATCAACCCACACATCAAGTATGAGAGCATGATGATTTGGTATTAATCTTTTGTAATAACAATAGATATAATGGGAGGTACGTTATATCCTCCACATCCCAATAGCTTATCTCCTGTACACAGGAGTTACACCCTTTTTAGACCCCACTTTAGCAAGGGAGTTAGCAGGGATAAAGGCACATGCCTGCTTCATTAGCAAGGAAGAGGCCACTGCTGCCTGTTTTATTGCCTCTTACCCCTCTCAGGGATCCTTGTGCTTGAACCATGGGAAAACAAGATTTTGGGTAGGAAGGGCATATTTGTACTGCCACCTTGCAGCAGGCATGGTGGACTAATTTGGATTCATGTGGAGACTTTGAGATAAAGACATGAAGATGGCAGGAGTGGGAGGGAGGAGTCCCATGGGCAGGGCTGGCTGGGAGCATACTTAGGAGAGAAGTGCACACATTCAGCTGATGCCTTGACTAAGCCCTGCAGTGAGCTCACCCCGTCTGCCAGAAAGCAGGAAAAGAAGTTGTCAAGTGTCAAGCTCATTCCACAAACCCAGAAAAACTCGGTGCAAGGTATGGAAGGCAGGTAGACAATGGACTTCCCTCCCCAGACTTCTCCTATGCTCACAGAGTGAACCTCCCCATGGCTATACCTCCAGCCACAAGTCCACAGCCTTGTCAGGGCTCTTCAGCAGATAGTAGCCTAGGGCCAGGCTGAGCCCTCTCCACACCAGCTAGCCCCAGGCCCTGCCCTTGTTGGGGTTCTCTAAGTCCAAGCCCAGGACAGGTGCTAAGAAGGAGCTACACAAACTCACGGAATATGGAGAAAGCACCTGTGAAACATGGAAAGCAGAAGCTGCCACATCATTCTTCACAGGGATAGACCAGGCCAGCTCTGGGGGGCACAACACCCTTGCTACATGGAGTGCCTATGCCTGTATGTGTCTACTGGGGTGTGCGGAGGTAAGAAGTTAACGCTGCAGTGCTCCGTGTCCTTGCCCTTACTTATGTGTTTAATTCTATGCCAGAGACCCTCTGGAGTCTGGACACTCATTGTCCCTCTTATACAACTTCAATGATGGCTGAGACTTGCTCTTTACTACGTTTCCCACAGTCCTCTGACACAAGAATCCTCATCTTGCATATGAGATGAAGAAACTGAGGCCCAGAATGATAATACCTCATCAAAGGTCAGCTGCAAACCTGACCTGAATGCAAAAGTAAGCAATTTGGTTCTAGGCTGTACCTGTCTTCCAGGGACCCTGGTTTTGCCAGGAGCCAAGGGGTTCATACAAGGTCACACAGAGAGCAACAGACATGCAGTCAGCCCTGCCACTTCTTCACAGGTACATGACCCCAGGCTGTGCCAGCAATGCGGCTTGTCAGTCAGAACCTCACTCAGAGGCTGGTGGTATCATATGCAGCTGGAAGGAAGTTATTTTTTTATCCCCTAGCATGTGCCAGGCATTGTTCTGAGGCAAGATCACATGATCTTAACCAAAAGACCTACACGATAAAATCACTAATCTTGTTTTTCACTTGTGAACACTATAGAAAAGTGGTGGTTCCTTCTGCCGTGAGCTTTGGAACTGGAAATCAAATCTCTTAATACTGGCCTTCTCCAAACTACAGCAGCCTTTTCGATATTGATCTGACCTTTATTTACAGAAGACCAGAGGAGAAGGGGAGGGGGCAAAGCATATGAGAAAGAAGGAGAAAGAGATGGAAAAAGATTGAGAGAGGATTAAGGAGGTTTCCAGTTCCACACGAGCCCTTGCATGACCCAAATTTTCCATCACAAACAAAATAAACCCTTAAATTTGTCTACAGAGTTGATCCTCTTATAGAAAAAAAGATAAACCTGTGTGTACGTGGAGAGGAAAGTTGGGGAAACTGCCCAGAAGTGGGTGGGCAGGAAGGTAGTGGGCCTCTGAACCAATATTTGCTGTTTCCAAATGTTTCCCAATTTATACAAAGGCAGAGCAAACAAAGAACCTCTTTCTACTTCAAGCAGTCCCCCATTCCCCTCCCCTACAGTGTCCTCTGCCCAACAGCAAAGCCTTCTCTGAAATCCTGGGTCTGGGTCATCATTGGGAGGGAGCGAGCTGGCAATCGGAGAACCTATAAGAACTGTCACCCTGCAGGCCTGCCGGGGAGAGGGTGGTGGAGTACTGTACGTCCAGCAAGTGGGAAGTGGGGCAGCAACCCTTAGCACAATGTCAGGCATCTTCAAATAGCAAATGACACCCCCAGAAGTCCTTGGACAATGGAAGATTCTCAAAGCTCTCATTCCTTCCACAGCAGAGTCCAGAAAAATATGCTTCTTATGCAGAGTAATAGTCCATAGCCCAGTGGAATGAATTCTATCAAGCATTTGAGAACTACACCAGTCTTGTACCTACTCTTTCAGGGAACAGAAAAGTAGGAACATCTCTTGACTGATGTTTTGAGAACACTATATTTGGAAAGGAAAAATCAACAAAGAGATAGTGACCAACATAAAAATATATTTTATTCACACAGATACAAAAAATTTATGCAAAAATATTAGCAAATGGAATCCAACAAATCCTCATCATTACCCAACTGGGTTTATTCCAGGAATGCATATGAGATATCTATCAGAGTAATTGATTGCATTATTAGAGAATAGGAACATCATTTGATGAAATTCAACATCCATTCATTAAAAAGTCTCTTAGCAAACCTACTCCCTAAGTACATAAAGAGTATTTGTACAGAATAAAAATGTACAAAAATCACATTTAGTGGTGAAATGTGAAGTGAAGGCTTTCTTTTTGAATTCAAGAGCAATATTAGCTAACATTATGGCTGGAGGTCCACTCCAATCCATGCAGGCAGGGAAAACAAGTCATAAGTAAAACAATTTAAAAGGAATGAATAAAACTCTCTCTTTTACAGATGATACAATTAAATATTCATAGAATCTAAAGCAATGATTTTACATATTAGGATAAATGAGTTAAGAAACAGAGTCCGATGTTGCCTGGTGTGGTACGACCTGTCATCGCAGCACTCTGGGGGTACTGAAGCAGTAGGATCATGAGTTTGAGCCCAGCCTGGGAAACTTAACAACTTCATGAGATCTTGTCTCAAAATAAAATATAAAAAACAACTGGGAATGGAGCTCATTGCAAAGGTTGGGTTCAATCCCCAGTGACACAAAAAAGAAAGAAAAAGTTGGATGCAAGGCCAATATATAATAATCAATTATACTCATATATACAAAATGATAATAAAGATCACGAAAAGTGTTATCCATCTAAAGTACTATGAGAAAAACAAATATCTAGGAATAAATCTAGCAAAATACATCTAAAACTTTTATGCATCAAACTACAAAGTGTTACTGAAAAAAAAGATAAAGAAACCTACATTCATGGAAAATTACAGTATACCCTAACCACTGAGTTAAAGAGGCAATATTTTTAAAGGTCTCAATTTTCCCCAAATCGATTTATAGTTTCAATGTATTCCTAAATTCGCAAGAAATGCTTTATATTTTGGGGGGGTAAATTAACAACATAATTCTAAAGTTTGCACAGAAATGCAAAATGTCTCAG